TTGCAGTGCAGCCACCTCTGCACAAGCAGGGCCCAGCAAATGCTTGTGACTCTGCCGGCTGAGACTGGGGGTGGAATGTGGCACGGGGATGCAGTTGACAGTTGCCTGCCTCTTCACGCGTGTGTGTGTGTGTGTGTGTGTGTCTCATGGAAGAAATAAACTTTTTTAAAGTTTTTTTTTTTTTTTAATTTTTAAGAGTGTAATTAGAATTGGAAAGATAAAAATTGTGAAAGTATCAAGATCATGAAAAATAAGGAAAGCCCGAGAAACTGCTGTGGACCATAGGAGACTGCTATGGACCACAGGAGACAGGATAACTAAATACAATGTGGTGTCTTGAATTAAGACCGAAAAAGACATTAGGAGAAAATGGTGAACCCTGAGTAAAATCTGGAGTTTGTTAGTAGTAATGTACCAGTGTGCATAAACAAAGCCATGGTTATATAAAACGCTAATGTTAGGGGGAGCTGAGTTATGGGTATAGATGGAAATTTCTATATAATACTTTTGGGAAATCTAAATTATTCCAAGATTTAAAATGTTTATTTTGGGGGGGACCAGCAGATGGCATAATGGTTATGTCACTGGACTCCCACATGACCAACATGTTCAAGTCCCAGACCCAGTGACGTGAAACTCATCTGGCATATGTGCATGTATGCCCAAGATCCTGAGAGGAAGATAGCAGAGAGGGGATTGCAGCGTGGCTATCGGGTTGATTTCTCACTTTCCTTTTCTCTATCTTACCTCTATCTGGTGAGCACACAAGCTCTATAGCATAAAATTATAGTTATAAATTAAAAAAAAAAGAAGGACCAGGTAGTGGCGCAGCAGTAAAATGCAGAGCTCTGACCCACATAGGTAGGTCCTAGGTTCACGTTGGAGACCTCCATGAGTATTCTGGTGCACAGTTACCCACAGTCCAGGGCTGGCTGATGCTGTGGGGTGATTGTGGCATCAAGACTCTCTTGGGGGTATTGTCTATCTCTCATTGCTTGAAAAAAATAAGTAATTAAACCTTTGAAATGCACTGTTTTCCTTGACCCATTTAATACCATTTCTGTGATATTTTTCTCCACACACAAATAGAGGTACAAAGATATTTATTGCAGCTTGCTTATAATGGCAAAAGTCTGGAAACTGCTTAAATTATGATAGAGTCACACAGTAGAATTCTGGGTAGCTGTTAAGAGAATGAGATGGATCTAAATGTGTGATATGGAATGAATCCCAAGATAAATTTTTAAAGATATTGATTTATTTAACTTTAATTTTTTAGGTTTTGCTATAGGAGGAGTGTGCTTGCCAGAGAGAGAGAGAGAAAGTGAGAAATCACCCCCAGGGCGGGGTGATGGCCATGCCGTGATCCCTTCTCCTCCATTCTTCTCTCAGGATCTACAAATATAATTAGTATTTGGGTAGGATCTGGGCATGATTTTCAAGTCATTGGGTCCAGGACTCAACGGCCATGTGGGATCTAGCGGCTTTAACCTCCATGCCATCTGCTGGCCCCCCCCAGATAAACTGTGAAGTCAAGAAAGCATCGAGTAGAACAGTGATCTTTTTTTCTCTCAATTTTGTTTTTAAAAATTTACTATAGGGCATGTGCACTTGCTGAGAGAGAGAGACAGAGAGAAGGAAAGTGAAAAATCACCCCCTAGTGGGTGGCCATGTTACAATCCCTTCTCCATTTTCTTAGGATTTGGGGCATGCATGCATATGCGCCCTGCATGCTTTTCAAGCCACCAGGTCTGGGTCTCAAACCACACAGTTGGCCACACAGGCTCCAGGTACTTTAATCACCATGCCACTGGCTGGCCCAGCACAGTACTGTATATACATATGCACACACATGCATATATGTGCATATATAAATGTGTCTGTGCATATGTGTATATATGCACATATATATTTCTTTTTTTATTTAAAGGAGATATAGGTAGGAATACATGGTAGAAATATAGGTAGGAATGTCTATAGGTTACATACAGTTGTCTCTAGGAGGGAGAATCTTGGCCACAGGTAGAATGACTCACTTTTGTATTGTTAACCTTTCATACTGTCTGTGTTTTTTGTTTTTTTTTTAAATATTATTATTAACATTGTGCATTTAATACCTTACTAACCAAAAGTAATTATTCTACACAAGTAAATAAATGAAATAAGGTCAGGAAGCAGAGTAATAGATGTACATTTGGTGCGTATACTAGAAGTGTATTTCGTATCTTCTCTTTGTGCCTCCTAGAACCATCCTTTTCTTTCAGGTTTTTGCCATAGGGTGCATGTACTCACCAGAGAGAGACAATGAGAGGGAAAGTAAGAAATTCACATACCCCTCCCCCCAGCCCTCCAGGGGATGGCCAGAATACAATCCCTTCTCCTCCATTCTCTGCCTGGAGAGAATACACACATGACCAGTGTGATTTTCAAGCCACCAAGTTTGGGGCTCAAACTTCAGTCAGCCATGTGGGAGTCTAGCACCTTAACTACCACACCATCTGCTGGCCCCAGAACCACCCTTTCTAACCTGTGTCTATTAGAGTCCTAAAAGCAGGACTTGCTGGCGTTTAGTAAGGAGTGGTAAATGTGAAGGTATATGTATATGGACGAGATGTCTCTCTCTTTCCTTAGTGCATTTCTAGGCAGACACGGGAGCATCACTCTGTGTCCCAAGCAGTGTTCGTAGCTTGTCTAGTGGGGACAGAGGGCAATTGTGGGCCCCGAGGTGGAATTTCAAATTCACTGCTCTGATTTTTTTCACCATAGTTTAGTTATCCCTCTTTCCAAACCTCATGTAAATGAAACCAAGCAATATGAGTGCTCATGTAAGGTTTCTTTCATTCAGCATGCTTTTGTGATTCATCTACATTACTCTGCATATCAGCACTTCTTTCCTTTTTACTGCCAAGTAGTATTCTGTTGTATGAACATAGCACAGTGTGTTTATCCATTCTCCTGCTGATGGATGCCTGAGCTGTTTACAACTTTTGGCCCTTATGACTGAAGTTCCTATGAGAATTCTTAGACAGTCTTTTTGTAGATATATGCTTTTATTTCTCTTGGGTAAATGCTAGGTCATAGAGTATAAGTATATTTAGATTTATAATAAATCTCCAAGTATTTTCCCAAAGTGGCTGTACAAATTGCTTTCCCACCAAGAGTTACTTATTGGTCCTCAAAAGGAGATATAGATAGATAGATAGGTAGGTAGGTAGATAGGTAGGTAGATAGATAGATAGATAGATAGATAGATAGATAGATAGATAGATAGGTAGGTAGGTAGGTAGGTAGATAGATAGGCTGGCAGGTGGTGTGATGGTTAAGGGCACTAGACTCCTACATGATCGACTGTGGTTCAAGTCCCAGGCCTGGCAGCTTGCTTTCTCACATTCCCTCTCTCTCTCAATCTGTACCTCTCTGGTCAAATTAAGTAAGAAACTAAATAAATAAAGTTAAATAAAATAATTATTTTAAAAAAGTATACACACACACATATATAGAGAGGATTTCTTCATCTGAATATACGCCCTTTGTCACATATATATTTTACTAATGTTTTCTCCCAGATTGTGACTTGTGTATTCATTTTGGTGAACAGAAATTTTCATTTATGGGGGCTGGCAGGTGATGTGGTAGTTAAGGGTACTGGACTCCCACATGACCTCTGGTCAAATTAAGTAAGAAACTAAATAAATAAAGTTAAATAAAATATAATTCTTTAAAAAATAAATTTTCAATTTTGATAAAGTCTAATTTATTGGATTTCTCTTTTCATGTTATTGCTTTTTGTATCCTAAAAACCCTTGCCTACCTCCAGTCAGAGGTGTTTTTGTAAGACAGGACCTTGCCCTGTCATGATCCTCCTGCCTTAGCTGCTGAGGTGGGACTAGAGCGCATGCCACCAGGCCTACCCTTCTCTAGGAAGAGTCTCACTCTGTTGCCTGGCTGGCCTTGGGTTTGTGATCCTCCTCCTCAGCACCCCAAGTCACTGGGATTGCAAGTGTACACCACCATGCCCATCCTTTAGGTTGGGCTGGGTATCAACCCCAGGCCTCCCATGTGGTTCCAGCCTGCAGAGCACAGCGTCTTAGCGTGCACACCAGCAAAGCAGGGCCTGGAGAGGTGTTTTTATGTACTTTCTTCTAACAGCTTTGTAGTTTTAGACTTTATGTTTAGATTTATGATTTATTTATTTACTTATTTGAAGTTCATGTCTCCCAAGCGGGGGTTGGGGGTGGGGGTGGGGTGGGGTTTGGACACCTCCAACATTGTCTTCACACTACGACTCACTCCCAGTCTCAGCTGACTCAGGTCATGGACACATGCACAATGGCATGCTCGGGGTCCCAGGATGTGAATCCAGAGCCTTTCCTGTGTGGATCCAGTTGTGCTACCCCTGTGCAACCACCTGGCTACCTAGGATTAATTTTAAATTACTTTTGCTATATGGTGTGAGGTAGTGGTTAGGGTTTATGTGTTTTCCGTATGGAGATCCAGTGGTTCTAACACTATTTGTTATCTCTTCTCCAATAGATTACTTACCATCACTGCGGCACTTTTTTTTTTTTTTTTTTTTTTTTTTAGGGAGAGATTTTTGCTATAGAGAGCATGTGCTCGCTGGAGACAGAGACAGAAAGCAATAACTCACCATCCCCCAGGGGAGTGGCTATGCCACAATCTCTTCTCTTCCATTCTCCTCTCTGGACTTTGGCACATATGCACATGCACCTGGTGTGAGTTTAAGCCACCAGGTCCAGGATTTGAACCATGGTTGACTACGTGGGACTCCAGTGACGTAACCATTATGTCAGCTCCTGGTTTAATAGTTTAAAGAATAGGCTTTTCTCCTTGGCTTTTGTTTATCAAGTATGAAGAAAGGACAGTTACTCCTTTCTGGTCTCTTAACTCCTTCACTTAGCATTGAGTTATATCTGGATGTTCCTGAGTCCCGACTCAGTAAGCGCAAAGGGTTCCCTCTGGTTGGCAGGGTTGTAGTGACTGTATCGTCTCTTCTGCCCGGACACAGAATGACCAGCATACCGGTGAAGGAACGGGTCAAGGTGTCTCAGAACTGGAGGCTGGGGCGCTGCCGAGAGGGGATTCTGCTGAAGTGGAGATGCAGGCAAGTAACCTCTTGCTCTTTTAAAGCTACCTGAGACTGGAAAGCATAATGGAAGTGGGAAATCCGGTCCTGACTGCAGTATAGCTGGGGCTGCTCGGGTGGGATGGCACTGGTGATCTTTTAAACAGCACAAAGATGTCATCAGAAGGACAACTTTTTTGCACATTTAAAAGAAAGGGCCCTGGGAACCAGCAGTTAGCGTAATGGCTATGTCGCTGGACTCCCACGTAGTCAACCACGGTTTGCATCCCGGACCCAGTGGCTTAAAACCCACGCTGGGTGTGTGTGCGTGCGTGCCCAAGATCCCGAGAGGAGAATGGAGGAGAAGGGATTGCGGCGTGGCCATCCTCTCTGGGGGGTGATTTCTTGCTTTCTGTCTCTCTGTCTCTGTCTGTCTGGGGAGCGCACGGGCCCTATAGTGAGAAACCTCTCTCAAAAAAAAAAAAAAAAAAGAAACGTTCCTGGGACCGGCAGGTGGCATGGTGATTAGGGGCACTGGACTCCCACCTGGCCGACCGTGGTTCGAGTCCTGGACCTGGTGGCTTGCTTTCTCACTTTCCCTTTCTCTCTCTCTCTCACTCTGTCCCTCTCTGGTCAAATTAAAATAAACAAATGAATATGGTTGAATAGAATAACTCTTAAAAAAAAAAAAGGAAATTTCTTAAAAGAAAGGATTTGGCTTATGTCCTCATGTTAAGGCAGCTGAAGTCCACATTCTGTGTGGTTCAAGTCCCAAACCTGGTGGCTTGAGAAAAACATCGGGCACACGTGTGTACATGCTCCAAATCCCAAAGGATGGAGAGATGCTTTCCTTCTCTCTCTCCTTCTTTTTCTCCCCCTCTCTCTCTGGCAAGCGCACATAGCCTCTGGTAAAAAATTTTAATAAAGAAAAAGGTTATAGGAAATGTATTTTGTTTTTAAAATTTTCATACTTTTTAATGATATTTTTAAAATGTGGGCTGGCTCTGTGGTCTGGTGTTTGGGGCAGTGAGCTCCCACATGACTGACTGCACGGTTCAAGTCCTGGGCCCAGTATCTTGGGAAACACCCCAGGCACACGTGCGTGGGTGCCCAAATCCCGACAGGTGGGAGAGATGCAGCAGCAGGGTTTGCAGCATGACCATGCCCCATAGAGGGTGTGTTAGCTCTTATTCTCCCTGTTGGGCATACATGCCCTCTAGCGCAAGGGAAAAAAAAATTAGGGACCAGCAGATGCCATAATAGTTACGTTGCTGGACTCCCACATAGTCTGCCGCAGTTTGAACCTCGGACCTGGTGGCTTAAAACTCATACTGGGTGCATGTGTGTGCATGCCCAAGATCCCAAGGGGAGAATGGAGGAGAAGGAATTGTGGTGTAGCCACGCTCCTTGGGAGGTGATTTCTCCCTTCTGTCTCTTTTTGTCTCTCTGGCAGGCACATACACCCTATAGCAAAAATCTCTCTGAAAAAAACAAAACAGACAAACAAAAAATTTAAAAAGTTGGGACTAGCAGTTGGCACAATGACTATGTCGCTGGACTCCCATGTAGTCGACCGCGGTTCGAGTCCCAGTCCCAGTGGCTTAAACTCATGCTGTGCGCGTTGCATGTGTGCCCAAAATCCTGAGAGGAGAATGGAGAAGAAGGAATTGCAGCGTGGCCATCCCCCCTGGGGGGTGATTTCTCACTTTCTGTCTCTCTGTCTCTGTCTTTCTGGCGAGCGCCCGTGCCCTATAGCAAAAACCTCTCAAAAAAAATTTTTTTTTAAAGTTTATTGTAGATGAGACCAGCAGTTGGAGTAATGGCTTTGTTGCTGGACTCCCATGTAGTCAACCACGGTTCAAGTCCTGGACCTGGTGACTTAAAATTAAAAAAAAAAAAAAAAAAGTTTATTGTAGAAATTTGAAAAAATAGAAAAGTCTAATGAAGAAAATAAAACTTATCTGTAATTCCACCATTTAGAGGTAACCTCTGTTGTTGTTGTTGTTGTTTTAAGAATTATTTATTTATCTTTATTTATTTATTTTAATTTGACTGGAGAGGGACAGAGTAAGAAAGAGAGAGAGAGAGCAAGCCACCAGGTCCAGGACTCAAACTGCAGTCGGCCATGTGGGAGTCCAGCACCCTTAACTACCACGCCACCTGCTAGTCCCTCAGAGGTAACCTCTGTTAACTAACCTTATTAAAGGAAGTAAATAAAGTCTGTGTTTCAACCATCTTCTCTTATAATTATTTTTCTTTAACATTTCTACTCTTGGGAACCAGCAGTTAGTGTAATGGCTATGTCGCTGGACTCCCACGTAGTTGACCGTGGTTCACGTCCCGGACCTGGTGGCTTAAAACTCACACCAGGCGCGTGTGCGTGCGGCCCAAGATCCTGAGAGGAGAATGGAGGAGAAGGGATTGTGGCGTGGCCATCCCCCCTGGGGGGTGATTTCTCGCTTTCTGTCTCTATGTCTCTGTCTGTCTGGCAAGCACACTCACCCTATAGCGAAAACCTCTCCAAAAAACAAACAAACAAAAACAAAACAAAACAAACAAAAAAAAACACTTCTACTCTTCACTGTTGGTTTTCTTTCTTTTTTTTTTTTTAAAAAAAACCCTATTATTTATTTAATTTTATTTATTCATTCATTTATTTTAATTTAACCAGAGAGAGACACAGAGAGAGAGAGAGAGAAAGGGAGAAAGGAAGCCACCAGGTCCGGGACTCGAACCATGGTCGACCATGTGGGAGTGTCCAGCACCTTAACCACAACACCACCTGCTGGTCCTGACTGTTTGTTTTCTTTAGTCCTCTTCCCTGCATTATTAAAAGGCAAGTTGTATTGGGACCAGCAAATGCTATAATGGTTACATCGTTGGTTTCCCACATAGTTGACCATGGTTTGAGTCCTAGACTTGGTGGCTTAAAGCTCATAGGGGGTGCATGTGTGTGGGTGCCCAAAATCCCAAGAGGAGAATGGAGGAGAAGGGATTGTGGTGCCTCAGAAACATGGGATTTGGTGTGGCTGGCACCACTGGGGGATGATTTCCCACTTTCTGTCTCTCTGTCTCTCTCTGTCTCTGGGAAGCGCATGCACCCTATAGCAAAAATCTCTCCCTAAAAAAAAAGGCAAGTCAGATCTAAAGATTGCATATATATGTTACAGGAAGCGAAAGTTAGAAAAAGTGCCAGGAAATTTAGATGATGGCTCTGGCATTGCTGATGTCACAAATTTTATGCTTTGTTGATGAATTGTTATTTTTTTAAAAATATGTTTCAAATTGGGAACCAGCAGTTAGTGTAATGGCTATGTCGCTGGACTCCCATGTAGTTGACTGCGGTTCGCGTCCCTGACCCGGTGGCTTAAAACTCACACCCGGCGCGTGGGCGTGCGTGCCCAAGATCCCGAGAGGAGAATGGAGGAGAAGGGATTGTGGCGTGACGATCCCCCCTGGGGAGTGATTTCTCGCTTTCTGTCTCTCATGTCTCTCTGTCTGTCTGGCGAGTGCACGCGCCCTATAGCGAAAAACCTCTCGAAAAAAAAAAAGTTTCAAATTAACAGAGGATAACTGCACTTGTCAGAGAGACAGAGACAGAGAAAGGGAGAAGAGGAAGAAAGCACCTCCCAGTGGAGTGTGGTCATGTTGTAATCGCCCCTCCATCCGAACCTTGAGCATGCACGCACGTGTGCAGGCATGTCCTCAGGCTGCCAGAGCTGGGACCCGGACCACAGTCAGCCATGTGAGATCTGACTTATTTCCACTGGTTTCACTGACATCATGGTTGTGAACCATGTGGTGGTGATGATGGCAAAGAAGCTACAGGAGAGAAAGATGGATTTTTAGAATGCAGGACTTCACCCTCTTCTTTCACCTTTTAGTCCCAGAGAATAGTTTATTTCTCCATCAAGGTTTTGTCCCTGATGTTGTCTTTTTGGGCTTGCTTCAAGTAGTTTGACAAATAAACACGGAACAGTCACCAGGTTGCCCCGGGATTCTCCACTGCTCACCTGGTATGAACCTGGTTTCTTGTCCTAGGCAAGTGGCTGTTTACCAGATGACTCTAAACCCATGAATTTCAACCCGCTCTGTTTGCCGCCTACTTGAGTGTGCTGCACACTCACGCAAGGGGTGTTCAAGAGGAATGTGCACGGTGAGAATGCAGGCATCTGTACACATTCTACCCGTGTTCCACATAATATATGCACACACTTGTAAAAACCTCCTGAGCAGAAACTCAGTTACTGCAAGTCCAGGCTGCATTTAATGGCCCGTCAAGTCAATTTGCAGAACTTTTCCACATTCCCATGATGCTTGTATTAAAGAGCCTGGGGATGAAACACAGCCCAGTTTGCTTAGTTTGCTCGGACAGACTTGGCAGTGGGAGATGGCGTCTCCGTACATGGGGTGAACCAGCTGTCCCTCTGCTCTTCTTGGAACCTGGCACCTCTAGGACACCTCTCTAGGGTAGGACAGGTGGGATGTCTGCCTTGGGAAAGGGACTTGGTTCCCAGCAGAGAGCCTCATGTCTGGCAGAATGTTCTTTCTTTGTAAGGCTTACTCCATGCCATGGCTTCTAACCTTTCTTTTCCTATCAGATTGTAGAGGGAATCTTTCACTATTTGTGGAATTCTCTCACCAGGTGCCCATGAGCACTGACTTTCTTTTTTTTTTTTTTTGGAGAGTTTTTTTTTTTTTTTTTTTTTTTTTGCTATAGGGCGTGTGCACTTGCCAGACAGACAAAGACAGAGAGACAGAAAGCGAGAAATCACCCTCCCCCGGGGGGATGGCCACGCCGCAATCCCTTGTCCTTCATTCTCCTCTCGGGATCTTGGGCACGCATGCACATGTGCCTGGCGTGAGTTTAAGCCACCGGGTCTGGGACTTGAACTGCAGTTGACTACATGGGAGTTCAGCGACATAGCCATTACGCTAGCTGCTGGTCCCAAGCGTTGACTTTCTTAGTAGCCCCAGCACCGCAGTAGACTGCTCTGGAGCTGTTTTTCCATCGCCACTTAAATCCTGTATTCCAGAAATGTAGATATCCCTGTGATGATCTAGGTATCTACTCAATATGTCAGCATCCTTTCCTAAATGGCCTTCTTCCTTTCCCTTGTCAATGGTAATTGGTCCCTTCATTCTAGACAGGCAGGGGAAGAGGGCTTTCCAGAGCTCATGCTTTTCTTTTCTCCATTATAGCCTAACTCTCCTATTGGGGAAGGGGTATAGGAGTTTTAGAACCTTGAAACATATCACGTTCACTTCAAATTAGTGAGTACGCAGAAGGGAACAAAGTTATTTCATGCAGCTGGAAGATTTTTTTTGACCCTCTGTACCATCAACCATTGAATTTATTTTAAAAGAATTATTTTATTTAACTTTATTTATTGACTTATGTATTTATTTTAATTTGACATAACAAGGACAGATTGAGTAAGAGAGAGGGAAAGCGAGAAAGCAAGCCGCCAGGTTCAGGACACGAACAACAGTCGGCCATGTGGGAGTCCAGTGCCCTTAACCACCATGCCACTTGCCAGTCCCCCATCTACCATTGAATTTTGTAAGCTCCACCTAGAAATCTACCTAGATGTTAAATGTTAAACATTAAATGTTAAGCATTCACCAATTAAAAGCGATATTTAGTTGCTCTTTTAATTCCAACTAATTTTTTATAAAGCCCAAGGAAGATTGGGTTACCACAGAATTCAATGGCTGTAATTTTTGGAGGGTAGTCACAGGGCTGGAAATTTTGAAGGAAGGGATTAAGGTATACACTGTTCGCCTTGCAGGTTCCTTCTTCAAAGATCGAAGTTGGGTTTTCATGCCGTATCTTGATGATTTTTACATTTCCTTTTCTGTCTCTGACTGCAGTCAGATGCCCTGGATGCAGCTGGAAGATGATTCTCTGTACATATCCCAGGCTAACTTCATCCTGGCCTACCAGTTCCGCCCAGATGGTGCCAGCCTGAATCGCCGCCCCCTGGGAGTCTTCGCTGGGCACGATGAGGACGTTTGCCACTTCGTGCTGGCCAACTCGCATATTATCAGTGCGGGAGGGTAAGCGCTGCAGGTTTCTCCTTCCCCCCTCATCCTTCGTGTTCTTCCGGAATCTTCTACCTGCCTTAGATTTTTTTTGCCTCAACTCCAAAAGGATCACAAGGGACACTAGAAGAAAGGGTAGTGGTTGTTTTCCATTTAAAGCAGAGAGATTTATTAAAAGCAGTTAATAGAGTTAGCTAGAAAAGGAAAACAGAAAGAACTTTCAATGAAGAGCAAAGCTTTTGATACTTTCTAGAGGTAAAATTATTTTGTCTCAGTTTTGTTCAGCCCCAAGTGTGCTCAAGAAGTGAAGGTATCTTGGGAACCAGCAGTTAGCGTAATGGCTATGTCGCTGGACTCCCATGTAGTCGACCGCGGTTCGCGTCCGGGACCCAGTGGCTTAAAACTCACGCCGGGCACGTGTGTGTGCATGCCCAAGATCCTGAGAGGAGAATGGAGGAGAAGGGATTGCAGCGTGACCATCCCCCCCTGGGGGGTGATTTCTCGCTTTCTGTCTCTATGTTTCTCTCTGTCTGTCTGGCGAGTGCACGCGCCCTATAGCGAAAAACCTCTCAAAAAAAAAAAAAAAAAAAAAAGAAGTGAAGGTATCTAGAAACAGCACCTTACTGGGCTGAATTGCCTAATGCTTAGTGAACTTGGTTGTCGGTGGAGGCTTGGGTTGTCTCTGGGTTGTCTCTGTAGACTTGTTCTCTTTGAACAGAGAGAATCATTGGCTCTTGGGGGTGGACTCTTGGTTTCTCTCCTAGAGATGGGAAGATTGGTGTTCATAAGATTCACAGCACCTTCACTGGCAAGTACTCGGCCCATGAACAGGAGGTGAACTGTGTGGACTGCAAAGGGGGCATCGTTGTGAGCGGCTCCAGAGACCGGACTGCCAAGGTGAGGCGGTCTCCCCTTTACATGCTGTTATCCCCTCCCGTCTATAGGGAGTGGGCGGGAGAGGGTGGGTAGGGCCTTGAGTCCCAGGATTGGTTGGGAGCACTGGGTGGGGGGTAGGGGGACAGCAACACAATAAAGGACTCACTTATGTGCCTCTGGCACGCAGCATGCCATGCCAGGCTGCCTCCCTGCCAGCTGGCCTGGGCAAGGAGTGGACAGTGGCTGGGAAGCTTGCCACTCACTTGAAATGTGGCGTGAACTCAAAAACAGAGCCTGGCCAGCTTTTCCTCCCCGAGCTGAGTTTCCTCAAGTTTGTGGGTTGAATTCTGACCCCAATATTTTATTTTAAAATCTCCCTCCTTTTGCCTACTGTCTGTTTAGGGAGGTTAATTTTTCACCACCTTGTTTATAAGCAATCAGGCTGATAATTACAATGTATTTTTACTGCTTCTCTGGAGAGCGATGTGGTCAGTAGGCTGTAGAGACAGCAAGAGAAGAGTGCTGTTTGTTGCATCATTGCCAAACTGCCCGGTCCACAGCCATCTGCCAAGGCTTAAAAGAATAAGGTTGATAAATAGTGTGACCCTTGCTTTATGGACTCAGCTTATCCACATCTGGGTCAAATAGGCTCCCATCTGTGAGAAAGAGGGAATTCTTTCTCCGTGCCTTTGTCCGGCAGCCCGAGCAGGCCTATATAGGCCTGGTCCTTTGGGGCCGCAGTGGGAACTTTGCTGACAGTTCAGTTGGTGATGCCCAAGGCCCAGCGGTGTCCTGCTCATCCATTCCCCACATCTGGAGGCTCCATAGTGCTAACAGGAGCAAAACGCTTGTCAGTGTCAGCAGAGGGGCCTCTCAGACGCAGGGAGAGGACACGGGAGGGGACTTTGCTCTAACTTTTCCAACTCCATGTACCCTCTAGTGACACCTCTTTCATGTAGAAATGTTGCTAATTTATGTAAAAAGAGGGGCTAAGTAGTTCCTTTCTATGTATGGAAGTTTCTCCTCCCTTTGCTGTTTTCTGCCTGATATTTGCTATGGTGTCAGAGAAGGCAGGCCGCATAGGAAGCCTGATAGACATCCAGCCAGTCTTTTGAATCAACATGGAAACTATATTTCTTGCCACTTGCTTCCCATTTCTCTGCCCCTTACTTTGACATCACAGTTTCTGATTGATCACTGCCTTTGTACTGTTCCTTGAGAAGATACTGACCTTCACTTGCTGTACTGCAAGTACAGCGATTTGCAGGACCAGCAGGTGGTGTGGTGGTTAAGGCGCTGGGTGACCATGGTTTGAGTCCTAAACCTGGCAGCCTGAAAAATCACACTGGGCACGCATGTGTACATGCCCAAAATCCCAAGAAGAGAGTGGAGAGGGGATTGCGGCGTGGCCATTCCCGGAGGAGGGGGGGTTCTTACTTTACCTCTCAGTGTCCCTCTCTGTCTCACTCAGGTAAGCACCCTATGGCAAAAAAACTAAAAAATAAGTTAACTTGCATAGAAACGTTTTATGGCTTGTGAGACTTACATATTCCCATCTCAGCTGGTGCCTTCCTGTGGTGGCTTCAGGTTTCCTGGGTTCCTCCTCCTTAGTGACATCCCTTTCTTCTGTCCTCCTCTCTGTGGTCTAAAACTGAGTTTTACGATCACAGGTAGCATTTCAAGGGTGTGGACTACTTACAATGGAAGAACAATAGCAATTGTATTTGGGATATTGGATTAGTTTCATGTTTAAATTCGGATTCAACCCTATTTAATGGCTTCAATTTGTTTTTAAGATTTTAAATAAACTTCTATTTTAATTTTTAAAAAAATTTTGAGAGTTTTTTTGCTATAGGGCACGTGCACTCACCAGAGAGACAGAAAGCGAGAAATCACTGCCGCCCCCCCCCCCCCCCCCCCCGGGACACCCCCCCCACACCCC